TCGCGGGGAACGAGCATGCAGGAGGAGGGGATCGAACAGGAGCGCCCCTCCTCCGTGCTTCGACGTGTGTGTGCGTCGTGGGTGGCGACGCAGGGAGGGAACGGGGGAGAGTGGGGGATCATGCGGGAGAGAATGGGTGAGGCTAGGGTTAGCTGGTGGGGGTGGGCCGGCCTGCCCGGGGTGGTTGTGGCCAGCCAGCTGGACCAAGGCCCAGTTGTCCATGGGGAGTTCTTTTACCTTTTACCTTTTGTTTTGTTTTACTTTTGTTTTTATTTATTTCCTTGCTTCTGTTTTCTTTTACTTATTTAATAGTTTATAGTTTTTAGAAAAGTGAAACTCACACCTCAATTAGATTTGTAAAATCGACTGTTCTCACAAAAAGTTTGGGACAAAAGTAAAGTACCTTGTATTCTCTATTAACTAAAAAGACATTTAAGTTATTGTCTCGGTCACTGTTTTATTTATTTTAGTGCCTTTAATTATTTTATAATAATGTGGATCCTCCACCATAATTACTTATGATTTATTTGTCACGTTGGGAACATTATAGTTTTAACTTTCTAAAACTTTTAGTGTTTGACTTTATTTTAAATTTGAATTTGAATCGGTTTTGAACTAACGTGAGATTAACAATAGTAACTGTGGTGACGTGGCATCGTTAACGTGGGATTACTGTAGCCTAATTATTCGGGCGTCACACTGGTGGACACGCACGCCGAGGCGTCCCGTCAGGGCCAGCCGTCGTCCGTGAATCGATCTGTCCGTCGCCCTGTGCCGGCCGTCACCGCCCTGCTCCGACCGGCACACCTGCATCGCCCCGACCAGTCAGCCTCACGCCATGCAACGACCAATCATAGTCGTCGTTTGCGCGTCGTCCCGTCCATCGATCCACGTCACCCGTTTCCGCCGTGTTCGCACGGCGGCCCTGCGGTCTACCTCGCTGGCCTCGTTTCCGGCTGCTATGTTGGTCGCTCGGGCCTAGCTGCCCGGACGCCGGCACTGCTTTGGCAGCCCGGGTGCCGGTGCTGACACACTCGTGTGTCCGACGTCCCACGCCGTCCATCATCGTCGGCTTCATATCGGACTCCGCCGCCACCACGCCTCCATCGAGCGGCGTCCCCGACCTCGCGCGCGATCGACTTGATCACCTGCTCGCCGCCGCGATCCGCCTCATCTATGCCGTGCGACCGACCTGGCCCGTCGCGCGGTTACGTGTGCCTCCACATGTCCCATGAAGATCGTCCCCGAGTTCAGCGCACCCCTCCACCGATCGAGCAACGGGCTGCCACTGCGTCGCCCCATCGGGCCGTAGCGCTGCCGCCCTGTGGTTCTCCTCATGGCTGCATCGACTCGCGCGTCGCCGCTGCGTCGCCCCTACGGGTTGTAGTGCCGCGAAACGCGGTCCTAGCCGCCGCCCTGAGGCCGTCCCCGCGGTTTGCACCGACCCGCGCTCCGCCGCTGCACCGCCCCTTCGGGCTGCAGCGTCGTAGCCCGCGGTCCCCGCCGCCGCCCCGAGGTCTTCCCGCCGTCGTCGCCCCTTCGGGCCCTAGAGCCACGGCCCGCGATCCACTTCGCCGTTCCCGCGCGTCGACTTCCCGTGGTATGCGTCACGCCGTCTTTCTTTGGCGCGGGAATGCCATCGTCTGCGCCGGTCTTCGTCACGTTGTTGGGTTCTCCTCGCCTACTTCGAGCACCGTCGCCGCCGCCGCCGCTACCCCCGTAGCCGACGCCGCCGCCCGTCCACCTCCCTTCGTCTTCGTCCAGCACCAGCCCGTCGCCAGCATCGCCGTCATCTACCCCGACCACTTCGTCTACTCCGACCACCGTTGGTGGCATCGGCCCCGCACCGATGGACGCCGCAATCGTCGTCGAGTTCTTCTCTGCTGGCCTCTCCAATTTCTTCGACATGGCGTACAGCTCGTGCAGGTCCCAGTCTCCGCGTGCCCGGTGTTGGCAACACCGCCGCGTGCCTTCGTCCACGACGTGTCCCCGGGCCTGGCAAGCCTGGTGCAGCGCTCCGTCAACTTCGTCTTCGTTCGTCTATGCATGCCCGGTGCTGGCAACACCAGTGTGTGCTTTCGTCTACGATGTGTCCCCGGGCTTGGCAAACCCGCCGCGACGCGTCGTCAACAACATCTCCTTTCTGGCGCACCTCTACTTCGACACCACTGCGCCCTTGCTAACTCGGCATCCCCTTGCGCCCGCGGCTCCATGGCGACTTCCTCGACACCGGCTACCCCGACTCGACATCGACCACGACATTCTTTGCACGGCTACCTCGACCACGGCTACACCACCCTACGCTCTCGGCTACCTCGACAACGACACAAAGGGCTACCACTTTACTTGAGCAACCTCGTCGGTTGACACTCCAGCCATGACTCCGCGATGCGCCGACCGTTATGACTGTGGGGGGTGTCCGTCGGTTTGCCTTCGGATTCTTCTCCAGTCTCACCGTCTGCGTCGCTCCCGTTGTGACTGCGGGGGGATGTTGAGTAACGTGATTGTATTAGGAAACATAGGTTAGACTAGGAATATTCTGGCTTGCCTTGTATTCCAAGTAGATCATGTACTCCTATATATATGCCCATGAGGCTCAAGCAATACAATGAACTATTCCATCAATCCTCTCTCTCCCTTCTAACAGTAGTTGTTGCTCTTCGAGGTGACCGGTGTTGGTTGAGACGCGGCTTTGTTGTTCTACTTAGGCCAAGTTCCTTTGCGTTGTGTTTGTAATGTGTGTGGTGGCTTTTCTTCGGATTTGCTCGGATGTGGAGTTTGTACTACACTTGTTGTCCGAGGCAGAGTTTCGGGCAGTGGCTAACGCCGTTGCCGAATGCTCTTGGCTTCATCAGCTGCTCCAGGAGTTGCTTTGTGCTGTTCACAAGGCCACACTCGTCTACTGCGACAACATCTCCGCCAACCCGGTACATTATCGACGAACGAAGCACATTGAGCTCGACATACACTTTGTTCGTGAGCAGGTGGCCCTTGGGCGCATCCGGGTCCTCCACGTCCCGACGGCGCAACAGTTTGCCAATGTTATGAAAAAAGGACTGCCTACTTCTGTTTTCGAG